AACAAGTCTTCATAAAAAAATTTTTCAACGTCAAAATTCTAAAAAATGAGGACGACCTGGGGAAGGTTTTTTCACGGAACGCCTCTTCTGATTTCTTCAGAAAGACTAATGATGACCCAAACGCAGACTAGCCTTATTGTAAAACACAACACACACAAATCTTTCGACTCAGTAAAAAAAGAGATCTTTCAGGAGAGGGGGAGTAATCTACCACTACATCTACGGCTAGACGACGGAGGAGAGTAGTGGGGTAGGACGTCCAGCGTCTCAAACCCGGTGTTCCTTCCTCGCGTCGGACCGGTAGGTGGGTTGCGTCGAGTCGCGGCGGAAAATTTTGTTGATTTAGGAGGGCCCCTCGGCTACCTCCCAAGGTGTGTGGATATTTTTATCGGTGAAGATGGGGGACGGAATTGATATACGGCACTCGGACTAATGAGCTACGGAAGTAACATTGTCAGCACCCGATGTGACCACAATAGAAACGGCACCTCCGTTACAACGTCATCTTTTAATTGTGACGGATCGCTGGACAATGTAATTACCCGGCCGTTTTAGGATTTACGAGGAACACTCTGGGAAGAAATACTTTGCGAAAGTTTCGATAGGGGTGTCGGTGGGGGGTTTCTATTCTAGACACACACACACACACACACACACACACACACACACACACACACACACACACACACACACACACACACACACACACACACACACACACACACACACACACACACACACACACACACACACACACACACACACACACACACACACACACACACACACACACACACACACACACACATACCTGTATTTGTGCTCGGTTCCCTGCGGTGATGTTGGAGATGGTCCAGCAGGCTTCCTTCTTGATGGACTCCTTGGGGCTGCTCAGGAGGTGCAGGAGGGACTGCAGCGCCGAACAGTTCAAAATCACCTAGACAATCGTAAATCACACACCAAGTTCAAACATTTGTATTTAGAAATATTGAATAAACTTCAACAGGAGTAGAATGACTTGATGTGTTATTACCTGTGTCTGCAGATCATCTCCTGTGACTATGTTCCCAACAGCTCTCAGTGCAGGAGACACCACCTTATAGTCAGAGTGCCTGGAACAAAGCAGGATTGTAATTTGGATCGGATTCAGAAATTCAAAATTGATCCTATCTCCTTTACGACCTGTTTTCCCCACATGACAGTAGTGATACATGTTGAACCCTACTATGTGCTGTCTTTTTCACGTTAAAGTACTACAGCGTGTCCTCTCCTGACCTTTGCAGTTTCTCACAGCTGGTAATGCATTAGTGAAACTCAAATACTGTGTGGGAGCATTCACACAGACCTACATCAGGACTGTCACACCCACTGTAGCCGTGAAGAACACGGGAGATGATGTACTGACTGACAGAGAGCCTGGCGCTTCTCATACACTAAATATCTATCTGTTAGAGTTGGAAGTGTGCAGTGTGTGTTTAAATACTCACAGCAGTAGCTCCACCAGCCTGCGACAGACTCCTGAGTCAATAACAGCCTGGATTTTGTCGTTGGGGCCGTCAGATAGGTAGGAGAGTGCCCAGCATGCATCAGCCAGGATGTCTGTGTCATTGACGAACAGCAGCCAGGACAGCACACTGAGACACGGGGACACCTGGGGGAAAGAGAGACATGGTGGGAGGGTGCTGGGGTTCAATTCAGTTTCCCAATTCAGATTTAAACTGCCTACAGCGGGTGACATGATATACTTTAGCAATGTGAGAGGTGTGCTGTTGCTATAGCGATGTGTTTATCTTGGCAAATTACCTTAGCGAAGTCCGGAGGTGGGTTTTTTCCTCTGCACAGGTTTGAGAGCGCCCACACTGCATTCCTCATCATCGTTAGACGGTTCTGTTTGGCCAATAACCTGCAGAGGGAGAGTGTCTCACGGGGTCAAAATCACTCTCTACTTTGCAGTGTGATAACGAGGTGAGGTGTTTCTACTTACTGCACCAGGGAAGGCAGGATGTTGCAGTCTATGACAAAGTCTCTGCATTCTGTGCTGTCTCCTGCTATGTTTCCCAAGGCCCACACTGCCTGCAACACACATCAGGTCAGTCAATAGGGTTATCAAACAAGGAGCGTTCAATAAATACATGTTGTCATACATTATACTTCAGTAAGTTAAAGACAAGGAATGTAATGAGAGAAGTTTAAGTGATAAAAAAACATATGTACAGTACTGCTTATTTCATACAAGAAATGCAGCAAAAGTAACTTAAAAATGCTTAGAATCAACATACAGTATATGCCAGGACATAACGCCATGATCAATGGTAAATAAGATGGAAAATGAAACTCATATACAAAATAAGTTTATAAGAAAGAATACATTACATAAGATTGAAAATGATTGTGTGGAAGTTTGGGGGAACACATATAAAACAAATACACATCATTTCTTCATCCTGCAAAAAAGAGCCATACGAGTTATGCATAAAACTACGTACAGAGAACCAACAAATACATTATTTATTAGGGGTGCACCGAATGGGTAATTCTTGGCCGAAACCGATACCGAAAACAGTTGCTAATTGTAAAACTTAGTCTAATTAGTGTAATAATAATTTTTTGATTAATTAGTCTACTTAGTTGGTAAGCTTGATAAAGCGTTTTATACCGGGTAAAGAATACATATAACAACACCCTTACCTTTCTTATTTACTTTCTTCCGCCATATAGGTAAAATTTGATAGTCATTAAAAATATATGTAACAAGTACACACAGTTTTACTTCTGTCGGGTGTGTGGATAGTGAGAGTGTTGGCACCCCCAGAATTAAGTAATGCATTGACAACATAGCTACATATATCTCTAGTGATGTCGTTTTCATAAGAGGCAGCCCTGAGGACATTGTTGTGGTGCGGCAATAGAACTAAGACTACCGGTCTTCTGTAATAAGGTTTCTCAAGATAACTCTTCTGCTTTTTCAAAGTTTTTGGCAAAGAGATCAGGAAGCCATAAAGGGTCTGTTCACCGATGACTTTAGTTAGAATTGATTGTACGAGCAGCACATTAAATGATGGTGCTCAACCCGCTGAAATTAAAACGATGAATTGTAGTAAAGGAGGGTTACCACCGCCCGATTCCACCCGCTACCACCCTGTTTCAGTAAAGACCATACCGACATCGGATGGGTCCGCGACGGTGACCACCCTACATACCGCCGTAAGACGTGTACGCAATTTACGCAATTTAGTCGAATTGCGTTAATTAAGTTATTTACATAATGGCGACATTTCGCTAGTAAAACTGTCGTAATTATTTTATGGATGATAAGGAAAAAAAACAAAAAGAGTGAGTATTATTATTAATATTTGTTTCATGTGTGTTCAAGGAGTTTATCGAAGACAGTTACAAGTGTCCCCGGGTTCTTCTTCGAATTTTGAACAGGATGCCGGGAGATCGTATGTAAAAGAAATATTTGATGTATTCTAATCCAGTAGTCAGTAGCGCCTGCACAAACAGAAAAATTAAACAAACAAACAAAAAATGTTTTGTTAGCCTTTCTTTAATGAAAATGTAATGCTCTTAAACTGTCCAGACAATATTGGTAAGTAACTAACCGAGGATTTATTAGAAAGTCAAATGCTTATGTGAATACGTAGCAATCAATAAGGTGTTCTGCTTGTGGAAAACACTCTCACGTTACTTCAAAACCGTAAAAGCACAGCACTTTGCCCACCAAAAATAACTTTTTACGTCAAAGTGGAGAAGTTTGTACACATACAAAAGAGAGCACACTTTTCAGGGACCTATTAATACTTCATTAACGACTAAACGCCGAAACTTGTATGTAAT